TAGGAACTATTCCAGCAAAAGGTTCACAGGTCTTCAAACTTGTATGACCATCCTACGGCAATACTTTCAGAGCTTGCCGTTTGGACACTCCCCTTTTGTCCTGTGGGTTTAGCATCGCTCCACTTCCGTGGGGTTCAAGTGAAGCACAAGCCTTGCAATGGGCCCTGCCTCACTTGCACTGTCACTCCCTGGGAGGAGGGGGACACTTTCCAAATGAAGGTATTTATACTAAGAAGCAACTCAACAAAAAACCTGGTCTCACTTCTCCTCTTCAGGATGGCTGAAACTAACCTGAGCTGAACCGGTGATGGCACACAACAGGGATTAAGTATCAAAGTAAGACAGAGGTTCCCCTCACCTGCCAAAGGCGTCTTGCTGGAACAGTGCCAGGGAAGTTAAAGGTGTTGGAGCAGCATGAAGGCAAGGGAAGGCCTTGCCCATAGTTTGGTGAACTGTACCAACTACAGCTGCTGCTGTGACACCCCCACAAGCAGCTCAGCATGGAGAAAATACTGCTGCAGCCTCTCCCTCCTCCTCCCTTTTGCCAGTCCCTGCTCTTCTCCACAAAGCCTTGTGAGCTTCCAGCACTTTCTCTTTGCTGCTCCCCAGCCCTTGGCCTGGAAGTTCCTGCTATGCACTGAGGTTGTTTTGTTCAGATTTCAGAGCCCCAGGCTGTATGTTCAAGGCATGAACCAGTCCCTCACCAAGTGCACGTGGTAAATGGGCTGTTTTCTGTGGTGGGTAAAAAAACAAGGAGTGACTTGTACCTTTCAGCACAGGGCTTTTCTCTTGTGCTGTTTTGTTTTAGCATCTTTTCCCTCCTTGCCTTTGACATGCACTGTGCTATTAATGCACACACAGAGCACGTCAAGAGCTCACATTGTCACCAATGAGATGGACGTAGCTCCTTTAGCTGGCCTTGGGGGACAGGAACCACCTTCTCCTTTGTCACCTTCCCTGTGACTGCCAGAGTCATGACGTATTTTATCCCATGTTAATTGTACTTCCTCATTGATGCTGTAACCAGCTTCATTTCCTGTCAGTAAGACATTTAAAGCTGTTTATGCTTTGGTGTTCTGGTGTACCACCCCTGCAAATGCCAACAGCTATATCACGGTTCAGGATATGGTGATTTTATTCCGCAATTGCCCATTACTGTTTGGTTTATATCATTCCCAGAGAACTGGTATGAGGAAAAAAGGGCAGCATGAAGGGCAACCTAACAGAGCTAGGCTAGTATCAAGGCACCACCGTTGTTAAAGAAACGAGCTGTAAGGGTGGTAGGGTGCCACATCTAATACCCTGCTCCAAGGCTCTGCTGAGCATCCATCCCCACTCATCCTCTTTGTGGAAGCCTCCTTTCCCCCCTGCTGGAGGCAGGAGAGGAGCTGCATGTCCCCCTCTCCCTGCCTCCTGGGAGGAGGTGCTGCCACTGTGGGAGCAGTGCAGGAGGCAAAGGCAGCAGAGCCCCAGTGTCCCCTACCCAGTCTTCTGCTGGGATGAGGTTGTCCAGTAGCCACAGCATCAGAGGACAGGGCAGGTAAGAGGTACTGTAAAGACAAAACAATTGCCCTCCTCCCCGTAACCACCTTTTTAACCCACATTTCTTTACACTGTCACATTAAATAACATCACAGTAGTTTTCAGCTTGCTCACTCTATCAAAAAAACCCTCTTTTCCTACAGACCAGGTAAGGGAGGACATTTTATGTTTCTACAGTGGTTCCTGTTTATCTGTGCCAGCCAAAACCTCACGAACTTCCTAGAACAGTAAGTGCCTGGCTCCGTTTTCATTCTTAACTACAGCTACAGAGGGATGGTTTCTGAAAACCTGTTTTGTAATTACAGTGCAGGATACAAAGGAATCTATTTCCACGCTGGGCTCCTTTAATTACAATTTATATAATTTTATTATGATACTTAAATTCTCAGTATTTCTTGATGTGGGACACATCAAAGCTTAAAAGTTCTACTTAGGCTAACTCCCATACCTGCAGAGCTCTGCACACAAAACAGTGCCTTTACTTCATCTTAGGTGAATTTTCTTTTTCACTGAACTGAACTAGTACAAAATGCCTTTTTCTTCAGTGAAACTAAGTTTGGCTATGCTCAAACTTAGATGAAATTAATTGCAATGAATAGATCTTAAAGGTCCATTTTCTCCTTAATGCTGTGTCACCCTTAGATTTTATGAAAAATCCTTTTGCCAGGATCTTATCTTCTGAGAAGCTGGGAAGCTTCAGCTTCTCCATGTTTTGCTGCTTTGGAATGTGATTTGGAGAACTGTTTACCCAGCATGTGAAATTGTTTTTCCTTGATGACCAATGACAGCCACCTGTGTCGAGGCTGTGAGCAGTCACAAGATTTTGTTATTCATTCCTTTCTATTCCTTTCTAGCCTTCTGAAGGATCTTTTATCTCTATTCTTTTAGTATAGTTTTAATACAGCATTTTAATATAATATATATCACAATATAATAAATAAGCCTTCTGAAACATGGAGTCAAGATTCTCCTCTCTTCACTTGTCCTGGGACCCTCAAACACAACCATACTGCTGTCTGAACTTCTATTTGTCCTTGGATGAACCTTCTGGTTAACAGCACAGTGGATTTCAATTGTTGGGTTGGGTTTTTTCCCCTCTTTCCCATGTATCTAGTTTATTAAAGAAAGACAAAAAGAAAGTTAAATGAATGCAACCAAATACAAGTACCCTCAAGCCAAATTCTGAAAAATGTCTCCTTTGTTTTTCCCCACGTCGGGTAACCATTCCAAGTTTAACCTGCACCCACCTATTGTGAAGCCTTAAAAGAAAGGCAGAGAGGGTGTGGGATGGGGTAAGAAAGGGGGAAGACTAATTACTAGAGGAATTTCAAAATCTTTCACTATCTGCAGGTACATAAATTGTGAATGACAGTAAAATTCAGTACTTTAATTCAAGTTGAAGGTGTGCCAGACTTTACTCTGCACAAAGAAGTTGCTGTGCCCAGGGGACATCACTGAGGTGTGAAGGTAGAGTCTGACTTCATGTGACAACTGCACATCCCCAAGGACCTGCACGTGCTCAGCTGCCTGGTCACATGCAGACAGCAGCACAACACAGGATCATGGAATTATTAAGGTCAGAAAAGACCTCCAAGATCATCAAGGCAAATTTTTAACTGAACACCACCCTGTCAACAGAACTGTATCACTGTGTGCCACATCCAGTGACTCCACCACTGCCCTGGGGAGCCTGGTTCCAATGCTTGACAACCCTTTCCGTGAAGAAATAAGAGTAAGTCCCGTAACTCTGGACGGTCCAAAAGTACCAATTTTAGCAATGTTAGGAGAAACAGTTCACACTCTTCTGGCACACTTGAAGTTCCTATGCTCTTTAATACTCCCACCAAACTTGTATTCATGGCAGACTCTCTCTTCCCTTCACAGCACCCACTCCCCAGCCCAATAATTTCAAAACCCTCCTGTCTGTAGTCTTTAAAAAAAGCAAGCAAAAGAACAGAAGAAACCAAAACTTGTTTCAACACTACAGCTTTCCTCCCCCAGAGCAGATGATCCTTGTCTCTGTGCTATTTATATTTGTGTATTAAATTTTCTTGCCAATTCATCATTTCATTGAAAAATAGCCTGGTTCTGCCCTTTCTTGTACTTTCTGAGAACTGCTTGCCCTTTTCCCACAGCCCAGCTGCAGTGAAGGCTTTGGGGTGCACCTCCCAGGCCATGCCCTACCCCTGCTACGCTTCTGCCGCAGGCACAGTAGGGAAGCAACACAGAAACTAGAGGAAGTCCAGCTCACACTTTTCCATCCTGAAAGCTTTGCAAGAATCCTCGAAGATACAGGAAGCAAGGAGGTACTGAAGTCCAAGACAGTACTGGCTGCATCTATGACAAAGGCACAGAGCACTAGAGCACAAAAGCATTATTTTCCATAGGAAAGAAATACAAATTCTTCTGCAAAGTGGAAATGAACCAGAGGCTGTCCACTTCTACTCTTAGGCAGGCAACTCGGTAGAAACTGCTGAATTATACAGCTCTGACCAAGCGCTTTCAGAAGGCTTCTGGACTGAAGTTCAGGTTTGGGTTGGTTTTCCTAGCTGAACTGACTGGAGCAGTCTGGATCACAGGTATTGGGCATCACTGAGAGTACTGTGTTGAGATATTCTCCAGCCACATACATTTAGATTAGCACAATTTCCCTCACCCTGAAGTTCAAGCATGCAGTTTTCCTGAGCTTTGAGACCGGTATTCCTGAGCTTGCAGTTCACCCTGCAGTTGGGTCCCTGCACAGAAAATTCTGAAACTGTTAAAATTCTGTTTAAGCAGCTCAAATTGTGGTTCATGGCTCCTTTGAGAGGAAAGTGTGTCTAGAGAAGTCACAGAACATTTCTGTAGAGACAGTGAAGTTCAACAGCCACAGTTAAAAGTCACCTTGAACGAACAAGGGAATTGCCAATAATTTCCACTGTTCCCATCAGCTCAGCTGCAGTGAAGAGGATGTGTGAGTGGAAAGCCTACCAGGCACGACTTGCAGCTCCTCTCTCCACAGTCAATGGACATTAAAGACAACTTCAGGAAATCCAGAACTCATCCAGCAGTGCTTCAGCAGTAACACAAGGGATCCTCTTCTCACAGAAATACCACTGCAGGGCTGCAGAGACTGACTGGACAGAGGTGCTGCGCTGAAGCTACAGTGGCAGCAGCAGCTGCTTGTTACTCTCATTTCCTCCCACAGCACACTCGGGCGACAACACTTGATGGGTGATGTTGGAGAGCACAACTGAAGTTATTACAAGGCAGCCTACACACTCACTTCACCATCAGGATGACCTTTCTAATGAGAAACACACCCAAAATCATCTGCAGCAGCCTATGTAACCCTGAGAACATTCCTGTAGATCCAGTAAGTAATACATAAAGACAGGGAGAAGAGCAGCTATGACTATGAATTGATGGAAGCAGCTACAGAAGTTCAGTGTGCTAGCAACAAGAAAATCTCCTGCAAAAACAACTTAAAATGACTTTATTTTTAAGTATATTAGCACAATATTTACAAAATCGTTTCATGTTTCATAAATAAAAACAGTTTCTTGGGTAAAGACTATAGATCTATAGATATTTAAAATGTCTATATATTTATATATACACACATATGTATACACACGAATGAAAACATAAGTTATGAACAACTTTGGTTTAAATTACTGGTGGGAAAGGGCTGGCTGGGTGTACCAATGACTTTTTGAACACTCACTTTTCAATTCCCACCTACAAGAAATCCAGCCCTTAATTCAACAGGATGGTGGGTTTCTCCCATTTCTGGGACCACGATTCTGCAGCCCATAGCCAGCCACTGAGCTCCTCAGGTTTTGACAATTCCTAGGAACAGCTCGGCCTGATCCCACAGTGACACAGCGGGGTTCTGCTGCAGTTTGCTTTACAGAAATTAACATAAAGCTATTATAAATGTTTTTATAAGGCAGAATACCTCTAAAGAATTCCAGTTGATTTGGTTTTTTATTCCTCTGCTGCTAAGACTTGCGACTTGCCAGAGGGAATCACTAGTTATAAACAGGGAGCACTGCACAATACTAAATTAGAAAAATTTTTATAGTGAATTGTAATGGAGAACCATCTCCCATCTTTAGTTAGGTATCACTGAGATGATGGAAAAACCTGCACCAAAAGACTCATCTGTAAGAGCTCAAACCTTACATGAATACTCCCACTGGCAAGGGAGGACAGTAAATGTGAGCCATATATGATTCTCCCATATTTTATCGCATGTGTGACCCTCTTCCCTGTGCCCAGCTCCTGATCCCAGTGAGGGCTGGCCCATAGCTTGCCTTAAATGGCTCAGTCCTGCAGCCTTGGCAAGAGGGACGATTCTGACAGCACCTACTGCAGAACCAGACACCTCAATTTTGCTTTGTTGAATTCTTAATGCGACTCGGGAGTTCAACGTGCAGAGACTCAAATCCCTGTGACATGCACCCACAACATGGATATGAACCTTGATTTGTAACATTCAATTCTGAGAACTGCCAAATTACTCAGGAACTTTAAAAACATGGATTTTATTACGTGACTTTGGCAACAGCTTTCCAAAGCTGCCCAAGTTTTAAATTGTTAGGAGAAAACCGTGTGTGCCTTTGAAATACAGTACCTTAGTACAAACAGGAAACAGTGTCAAGATTTCTACAAAGCATACACAAAGTCCAAGAGCAGCTAACTATATTGGAACAACTCTCAAAATAGCTGTAGAACATAGCTGTAAAACATAGAATCTCATGGAATGTGCAAGTTCTAGTAAACTGATTTTTAACCACATCATCATTAGATATATACAGAAACTGAGCTTCCTCACTCCTCATCAGCTCCTCCTACTTTTTATTTTATGTATTTGTGATGTAATGGTAGCAACACAAACCTGGGCCAGAAATTATATCGCTCTTTTCCATTCAAGAAAACAAGGTTTTAAACTGTCAAAAATATACTAAATAGGAAACTCCTATTTTTATGAAGCATCCACGACTTTCACAAATTCACTGAGTTAAGAAAGCCTGAAATTGCTTCCAATTCCACACACTGCACAACATGAACACATACAAGAACCACATTCAGCATTAAGATTACCAGCTCCTGTGCTCTGTAATTCCAGTGCTGAATTAGGCTCCAACAGCTGAGCAGTTTCCCATCAAAGGATACAGAGGAGGCACTGAGAGCCCTCTCACTGGACAAAAATATCAGCCACCAGAGCACACATGATTACTGTCCACAGAGAGGAATACTAACATCTTGTGGAATTAGAACTTAGTTAATAATTTCAGGAGAGCTGGGAGTAAATTTTGTACTTATGCAACTTTGTGTGTAACTTTGTATTTCTTTAATAAAAATTTGCTGAATGTCAGAAAAGATGTATTTGTACAATCTCTACTTCCTGCTTGTATCATACACATAAACCATACTTTGTCCATGCACACAAATAAAGAAAACAATAGTCTAAATGGTATTGCAATCTCTGGGCTCAGCAGGCCCATTATCAAAGCAGTGACTAATGATAGTTTTTAAAAATAATACCACTAAGGATTACTGCAGGGAGAGTCTGTACTGGGCAAATAATGCTTTTTATATTCTCACCCTCAACCATCCCATATACACCATAACAAAACAAAATAAAGATCACATGTGGGCAAACACACATGTTCCTTGCTACAGCTGCTGTGACTATAAAATAATGTCATTTATATCAAAAGCACTTTTGCCACACATGCAGAACAACTAGAGTCCTGAATTTCTTCTCGATGAGTAGTGCATCTTCAAGGCCACGGTGTATCAACAACGGTGTACTTTTTATATACGCATCACATAACTCTGCAGTTCTGGGAATTTAAAAAGAAAGAAAAAGAAATGTTGTTTGGGAAGAACAGCAATGTTTTGTGCTGCCTATGCAAGTCACAACTTAGAGATTTTTTTTTTTTCATTTCAAAATTGAAAGCACATTTAGCATGCAAATAGTGTAAAAAGATGTTACTAACAGCAAGTGATGTTTCAGCCTCTCCACAAAAGAAAGGTGGACACTGTCTTGGAGCTTTCACCTGTGAATTTGAGTAAGCTGAAGTGGCTCATAGGCTCAGCTGTCTAACTCACCCTGTCCAGATATTCTAATGCTAATTTACTTTCACATGCTATTTTGTAATCTGATCAGCTTCAGCATCTGATTCATCCCTGCTTCAGTCTGTGTGTGTGAATTTTCCAGGGAAGGTTAACACAGAAGCAGGTAAAGTCAACAGGTTACTGCCCCCAGCGTGAGTCAGAGCATTTGCTTTCCATCTGTAAAACCTTCTGTCACTGGTTAGCAGCCATCTTTCAGAGCAGAAAAAACAGTCTTCTACCTCTACCCTAAAATTAAATAGGTAGTTGACAATTTCTGTGCTTTTGGAAGCTTCACCTCAGCACTAGAAGGTAGGTTTACATAACCTAAATGAAACACAAGAAAAAACAGGCAACTTATTTAAAATTGATCTCCAAGCAAAATTTTGCCTTGTTCTTCAGCAGGATAAGGTAACTGCAGAGAACACATCCTGATCTCCCTTCTGGTCTGCTCTGATGAAATGGACTGGCAAATATCAACTTGTTTCCTGGTCTCAACTGTGACAAGAATAAGCAGTGGCCAGTCCTGGAGCAGGCCCTGCCATCCACTCCAGCCAGTTCAGATTACACTACCTGGTATACATTTACCAATGTGTTTATGAGACAGCAATGCACTTGTCCTGTGTACTGTAGAAGTGCTTGTATTCTTATTGGTTTAGAAAATAATTATATGGGATATCTGGATGAACCAAATGTAGTAGTCATAAGCAACACAAATCAAACAGCACACGGTATTTGTAAGGAAACCTGCTTTTAAAATTCATACACCTTTTTCCAATTAGAGCTAACTAGTAACTCATTTATTTGCTCGTTGTCAATTCATGCCCCCTAGAAATGGCATGATATAGAAGTATTTCAAGTGAGCTAACAGATTTGGAGTGATTCCCCCCAAGTAGCAAAATGTTGTAATTGAATGCAGGAATACTAGGCTAAGGGTCTAGTGATACCTCATGACAAACTTGCTCAGTATTCAGGTAGAAACCTAAGTAACAACAGCATCAACAAGTGCTTTATCCTATTCCCATGAATAGTACAGCTACTGAACAGAAAAGACTCAATAGCACTGTTTTCATTTTCAAACCTTATCATCTAGCCTAACATTTAAGCTCTTCAATGAGAGCAATCTGAAAAATAATAAATTGAGTGAAATCTGATTGGGATACAATCTAACAAAACCCAGAGAATTCAAGTAACACCTAAAGAAAGGGAGAGGGAGTGAAAGCTAATTATAAACCACTTTCCTGTGAATTTCCACTGGAGATCAATTAAATGCAGAGAGAAAGCTTAGTTATATCAACAACAATAAAAAAAAAACAAACGAAACAAACAAAAAACCCCACCCCAAAAACAACAACAAAAAAAAAAAAAACCCCACACCCAAATAGAACAACCCACCACCAAGGAAACATTCCATGCATCTTAAATACTACATGAACGAAAAGGAAACAAAGCTATTTGGCTTTCCACATTTGATCAGAAACACACTATTGCACAGTTCTCTCACTGACTCATCCTCCTCACTGTTTAGGAATACACATTCTTCCCCTATGTTTGATATAGGATGCATGTATTCTTTCAATTAAATACAATTTGAATAAGAACAGCACCTGCCCTGAAACCTGTCTTCCAAGTTTCATTGAATTAGTACTGGGCTACTCCAAACATCAAAACCCTCAAATGCTCAGCCATTAAAACAAGCATCTGTTAGACTTACCATCATTCTAACATCACTCCTTTTGCATCTTTAAAAGTCAAGAAGGTGGATTAGTAATGAGTGAAACAGAAAGAAATGCTTCACAGGTTAATATTCAGGTTAGTTCCAAAATTCAGGTTAGAACTTGCTACTACTCAGCATGCCAATTAGTGAACATAACAGCAAAAAAAAATTTAAATTCATCCCTTTTTCACTGTAAATTTCCCTCACCTTAAGTGCTATCAGTCTCTCAACATCATGAGAGTTTCCCCAACCCAAGGAAATATGCAAATAGAGTGGTAAGGATAGATTTTGCTGTGATCCTTAAGTATTTCACCCAAATAAATCTTTAAGAATTAACATCAGTTTTCAATACAAGTCCCTCTTCTTCCCTTAAAAGCTGGACATTTTGCAAGGCAAAGAGCATGGACATAGTATCGTGAGATACTAGATTTGTCCTAAAACAGTCAAACAGTGCCTCTGGCTAGCAAGCACAGTGACATGAAACAGGGAGTCTGGAGCTGCAGGCAACATTTTATTGAGAAATCAAACTCTTACTGACTCACAGAGCCACATAAGTTGCCACACTGATCTGCCATCTTAGTGTTGTGGTAGTGGGAACCAGAACCATCTTTATCCATAATTAATCCCTTAATGAGAAGATAAACCTTGAATATCACCTACCATTTAGTGGTTCTTCTACAGCTTTCTGCAAAACATTTAAAAATATATATATGTATAAAAAGCCTTCATGTTTACTTCTGGCTGGCCACAGTTAAATTACTCTAATTGACATATACAGTAAGTAGTGATTCTACAAAAATGAAGAAAGCTTAATGTTAATCAAAGTAATGACTAAAGGTCTGAAAAAAAAATTGTATCAGTCAATAGCTGCATTTTCCAAGTAGTTTTCCCTTACTGTGACGTTTACCCAGATGAAATACCCCTAGGTGGCAGCGGAAGCCATGCAGATACTACTTTTAAGCTCTAAAACCTAACTGATAATTTCTGTCATTTGATCAATGGTTAGTAACAAAGCAGCAGGACTAAAAAAGAAAAGAAAATTAGTAGCCAAGCAAATCAAGTGGAATCTCCTCAGAAAGAAATACATGACAGTTGTGCATTTAGTCTGGTAGACAATCATCAGAAACAACACATGCAACCTACAGAAATGCTTAAAAAAAAAAAAATCAGTACTTGGTTAAGATGGCAGATTTCAAAAACACAACTTTTCGCCCTTCGACTCAGGAAAATCTCAATAATAATTTTTTAAGTGTGCCCCAGTGTCAAAATTATGCCCTTCAACAATATTAAGTTTTCCATAATCATTAGATGACACAGAATCAAAGTGTACTCTTAAAATTACCTCACACCTATTTACTGCTTCAAAGCACAGCAATATAGGCTGAAGAGCCCTTGATGGAAACAAGCAGCATGTTCACACACTGCAGTTTCCACCAGGTCTTTCCCCAGCAGCCCTAAGTTCACAAAAACAAATTATATCACTTGAATTCCTCTGTATCTAGCCCTCAGCTATCTGCAGCTGCAAAGAACGTATTTGTACTAGCTGAGGTTTCCAATAACCTTTAAGTTTTAAAAACTTCTTTTGATTTCATTCCTGTCCCCAATTCAGAGAGTAACACGATGTTCATTCCTGTGTTGCTGTGGCTATTTATTTCTCAATTCCTTGCTGCCATGGAAGACCACCTTGTAAGGAGAGCAGCTCATAAAGAGAACAGAGTTCCCATCAAAGGATGCTATTTTACATGCAGGTTTCTAGTTTAAAGTTTATTTACAACCAAAACTAAGTTAAGGGAAAAAACCCACTCTCTCTTGCCCTGTTTACTTCCATTCTACAAGTAAGCACAAGGATGTTAAAGGCAAGATTTCATTTTGAATGAAGCATACCTTCAATTCACTTCTCAGCTCATTTTTGTAACATCTCTTAACCTGTTTTCCTTCCATTTTTTTAAACTCTGTGCATTTATATCCCTTCCATAAAGAAAGGCTAATCCTCTGAAATACTATTCCTTACAATGAAAATGGATGAACAAAAGCAAAGGAAATAAAAAAAAACAACTTAGAAATCTCTTGTCCTAACTGCAGTCAGCTCTCACTGTTAGAAACCATCTTCCTTCAACAGCTGGGTCTCAGGCTCTAGACTAGAGACCTGAAAATGTGTCTAAAATGATGGCTGGCATCCAGGTGGTGGGATGAGTTAGTATTTGCCAGATTCCCCTGCTGCAAGGAAGTTTTACTGGTATTCTACAGCTGTCCCTCTTTCCTTGCTTCTGGAAAACACCAGAAATCAGGCAGTTCACATTCACTCAAAAGCACTGTGTAAGTCTGTGAAAATTATTTTGGAAATTATTATTCTACAATTCAAAACTACCAACTGAAAGCCTTCTTAAAAAAACCAAGGTATTTTTCAATTTGTTCTGTGTTACCTAAAGACAGGCACTTTCTTTCCAGAAGATCTCATCAAATTATGGGGCATTATAGGAAAATGAGAAAAAAGTCCAAGGTATGCCATCTGTATAGCCAGGAACTGAACAGAATTCCAAAGCATTTTGGTGTACAAGACCAAAGGAAAAAACCTTTTAAGTCTTTCTTACAGGCCACCTGGATGTTTTACACTCACTTTAATGAAAAAGCTTTTAAATAAGGTGAGAAAAATGGCTTTTAAATATTCAGGTGGAAGAGTGCATTGTAAAAGAATGCCAAACTCCCACCACCTTTAAGTGACAGCAATGGAAACTCCATTTGGGCACAACAGTCAGAGCATCCCTGTGTCAGGGTGGCAATTACACTACTACAGACACACTCAATAGGGACAATGGAGACCACCAACTCACTCAACATTAGACATCTGTTACACAGCCAGAACTGTTGCTTGCTACCAACCTGGTCTGAATTCGAACTAGTGAAGAAAGGTTCAGTATCTCACTACAATCCCCTGAGCCATCTAGTCACCCCAAATTTATTAATTTTAAGCTTACCCCCGGACGAGGATGATCTTTCATTCTGGAACCTAAAATAATTACAAAAAAGTGACCAAGCAGATGAATAACTGTCACAATCAACCAAATAAAAACATAGAAACATAGAATTGTTAAGGTTGGAGAAGACCTCCCAGAACATCAAGCCCAAGCAACCAGCAAGCCCAACCCAAGCAGCACCACTAACCCACGTCCCAAAGAGGTTAAACATCACTTCCAGTGATCGTGATTTCATCACGTCCTAGGCAGCCTGTTTCAATCCTTGACCACCCTTTCAGAGAAAAAAAATTTCCTAAGATCCAATCTAAACCTTCCCCAGCACAACTTGAGGCCATTTCCTTTCATCTTGTCTCTTGTTACCTTGGAAAAGGTATTGTCTACTGATAAGGCTTGCAACAGAGTTGTAACACACAGAATTGCAGCTTCTCCTGTCCAAAGGTACTTAATTCTATGATCTGGAAATCTTAGAGCCTCTAAGCACTCTTCTGTTTAGGAATCAAATCACTTAAAGCATGTGAATTGCCCCACTCGTGCACTCAGCTCTAAAGGTGAATTAGGTTACTCACTATTCATTGTGCTTATTTTGGCATGCTAGAATCTACCCCAACAGTCACATTTGACTTCTTCAGCCAGCACAGCCAAATCAGAAATGCAACATTTATGCAGACCATGAGCACGCAGCATTGAATACTATACAAGCATACAGAAGTAAACCAAAGTCAATAAAATATAAATTTATTGTTGTTATTAAAAGGCTTGATTCATATCTGCCATATTTTTGACTCATCTTCATATCCATTGTCTTGGATATCAAATATTAGGCATTCTGCCTTAATTTCTTCTCTACTGGAAATTCTCCCTGTCTCAGGGTCTTTTTCTGGCCATGCCCACACATTAACCCGGGAGACTGCATGGCTCAGTGCAGACTTGTGACTGCACTCACTGTAAACACTTCAGCAGCCTGAGTCTGGAAGCGACATATCCTCAGTTGCACAGTTCCGTGTCCACAGAAGGTGGACAACAAGGAGGTGTTTGAAGAGCCTGTGCACAGCTTGAAACCAAAGCCACTCTAACCCCAGCTGTAGAGTCCATGCAATGTTATGCTGAGGGGTGCCAACATCCCAATCACCCAGCATTGCTGGGTTTTACTTATTTAGCACATCTTTAAATCTCTCATCTTTTTGAGATCTGATGAACAGATCAGTTTCTGAAACAATGCCTTGCTATTCTTTTATCCTGGGTTTTAAAATAAAGCAGGAGAAAAACCAGGGTTCACAAAAATGAAAGGTGTGCATTCAAATTGCTCTTCTTTTAACCTACTTCTAACTAGTGCAAATCAGTAGGCAGATTTTTGCTTCTTTAAATCCATGTTTTGATAAGCTTTTGTCACCACCATCCCACAACCCACTCTACAGAATCCTTTACACCCTTTTGCTCTCTTCATTCTAAGATCCAGCTGGCCAACTGTATAAATTGAGAACTTAAACAGCAACATCCCTCCTACAACTGAAACACTCTTACTTAACAAACCTGGCTGTGTTCATCTCGAAACAGTTTATGATGATAAACTGTGGGTTTCTTAACTCAAGATTCCCCACACACTCTATGAAACAAAGCCAACACATACCAGACAACTTTTCAGTAATTTTTAAAACTATGTAACTGAAATCACACCTTGTGCTCAGATAAATTATGTCTACTTGAAAGGAAAATAATGCAGAATATTAGGTGCTACTTACCCATAATAAACACGTAAGCCAGACTAAGCAAACTTGCAATAGCCATAATAGCTAAGCCAGCAATCAGAACAGACCCATGTAATGGAGGACAGGCTGGGAAAAACACAATAAAAGAACTGTGTCAGCTGACACAAAAAAAGGACAAAATCCTATTTTCAGATATAACTGATTAGTTAAATAAATATACCTGATAAAGGCAGGCATGTTTAATTTCACTTTCAAAGCTATCCCAGAACTACTCCTGCATATTTCTTTTTTTGTATACATTCTTTAATGATACAGAGGCATTTACTGATTTATCCTGCTTAGCTGATACATCTTCAATCCCAACTGTTTTGGCCTGTAATTGTATTACATGACAGAATACAATACTGTTGTTATTAGAATTATCTGTCAGCTTAACCCAGGACGAGCTGTTTCTTCTGACAGTTCAGGGTCACTGAGCTGAACCCCCAGAGATACAGGAAACACTACAATGTATATTGGAGAAGAACACCCTGAAAAAAACTAGGCACACTTTGCATATACAAGCATTACAAAACATCCTCAAAAAAACCCTTGTATTAATGCTTTACCAGAAATCCCTCATCAGTTTATTTTACTATTATAACTTACAGAACTTACAAATACTTCTGTAAATACTAAACAATAAGCATAAAATTCAAATCACAACTCCACTGAAAGGGCTGTCATTTCACCCAGATTAGACAAATCTTTAGAAATCACTTGAAGGATAAATAGGTCTTAAATCCCCAAACAAATCAATGACTAAAATGAAGAGTATCTGTACAAAACAATAAATCAGGAACATAAAATGCCTACAAGGAACACAAATATGCATTCTCCTACTAAATATATCGCCAAGGACAACTAGTCCTAAATTGACCCTTTTCTCTGCTGCGGGGTTCTCTGGTGGCACAGGGGAAGGCAGGGAGGGGACAAAGGGAGGCCAGGGGCAGGGATAAGGGACATCACTGTGTGTGCTGGTTAGCTGCTGTTCCTTCACCATAGTGACAGGTTTTCAGTGATGAAACAGTGTCAGCCACAACCACACTTACAACAGCCCACGAACAAATCCAAGTTTACTGTTTCTACATTTATCTTCTTAATGTGTTTTAATGGTATTCATTGAAATATTAATGGACTCAGTTTAGCAAGGAATTTCTGATTCACTCTCTTAACATGCAAAAAGTATTATTATTTAATTTCTAAATACCCTAGGCCTCAGTAAGAATAACAGTCACTCAAAATCAACACTAACGTGCAAAATTAAAACAATTAGCTTTTTTTTTTTTAAAGCAGATGCTCACAGAATGCAATCATGAAACTGATGTACGTAATACTTCCTTTAGGCTATTCTTCTTTCACCAGATAAAAGTATTAGCACAGTAGTCCTAAACTGCATTTACAGAAGTACCAGCTAACATTCCATGCAGTGAAGCCATTTTCACAGTTTTAGTGTTAGAACTAAACAAACATCAGGTGTAGACAAAAGGCACACTTTCACAGAAGACTTAACTGCTTACCTGGAACACACAGTGCAAAACCAACCAGAGCAATTATAAACCCAAGAAGTTTCAAACCTATCAGAACCAACGTTGCCTGCAGTAGACTGTCAAAAACTGGGGAAAAAAGAAACAAAACTTAAAAATTTAACTACAGAGATGTAAATACAGATAATTGCATAAAGCTAGACATCAGATTCTCCTAAATTCTAAGCTCAGCCAACCAGTGTGGTAACAAACCTACAAATCACTGCAAGTCGAGGCTCCTGTATGTACACACAAACATACAATTATATATATATAAATAACATTATAAACAAACCACAATTAGAAAAAAATGGAACCCACATTCTCAGAGCTAATTATTCAACCCACTCCCTAAACCCAGGAAGGGTGAGCAGAAATCACTCAGATGTGCTACCCTAAATCTCACTGTTTAAGCAAGTAACTCCTGCTTCTGTGAAGCAACTCAGCCCAACAAACACAGGCCAAACATTTTGTCTCAAGATACTATAAATGTGATGAACGCAGGATGCTATTGTAGCACCTGTTTATAAAAATTAGAATATTTTGTAGATTATGGGAGTAGCTCAGTTTGCTTCAATCCATGTGTTAGTGAGTAAAGAAATACTCACCAATTCCAAACATGATGTACTGAAGAGGTACCAAGATCACAGCAGGGATTACAATTAGGCCAAGACCAGCCTGATTCTGTACAGTATATCCATCTGCAAACATTTATGTGGGAATCAGTAAAACAAAAACTGTTAACTGGATTAACACATAAAGCAACAAACATAAATCATTGCATCACCAAATTTCCCACTGAAGGAACCAGAATTCACTCTCTAGTCCCTAATATTCACCCAAGGCAGTAGGACAGAAAATATAGATAAATTTTGAGTCAGTATCTTCCTATGATCACTTGAGGGCCTGACAACTCCAATGCTGCTTCTGCTGTAGTCTGTATATTCTCTTTATTTAAAAATTAGTAGATTGCAATTAATAGGTGGTACTAACTTTCATACTACAGAATTGAAGATATTTTTTTACGCTCTTATTCCCTTAAATTGAGAGCAATTTTAATCACTTACCTTGCATAAAAAGAGCAGCACCTACACCAGCTACAACTGCAAAGATGACAAGTGCTACAATAATGCACACTTTCCTCTGAGATTCAATTTCATATTTTAATCCTTAAAGAGACAGAGAGGAAAACAATCAGACACACAGATTCACTGAAATGCACAGATTTATGACTTGGACTGTTCCTAAATAAAGAAACTCAAACTCCTAAAATTGAAAACTATATCCACTCCCAAGATTTGATTTGTTTCTACTGATTGATATGGTTAATATGGCTTACTCAGAAAAATGACACCTGGCATCAGGGTTTCAGTCAAATTCTAACTTTCTCCTTTCATGCAATTCAGCTGATATGTTATCAGAGTAACTCTGGGACATGGTACAGGTTAATTCAAATGTTACAGTAAATTTCTTACTCAGGTGAACGTCAAGACAGGGATTTAGAAATCCCAGGTTTAATTTTCTTCTTTATGACACTCTGTGAGCTCAGACACATCACATCACCTCTGTCCCCAAAGGAACTTAAGTCCTAAAAGCGAATTCTGTAAACTAAAGTCCCAAAAACCCACCTCAAATAAACCAATACAACACCCCCCAACACACAAAACCAAAAAACCAAACATTTCTGAATAGTACACAGAAAAATCATGCCCAATTTAACAACCTATTTAAAGCTATAAAGTATCATTGGTGGATTCCCAGGTTATCTAAAAGAGTAAAATTTAAAGGAAAAAAATGTACCAACACAAAAAAATCCCAACAAACAATAAGTACACCCATATTTATTAAGTTAGGGATAGGACACCTCATTTCCCCAGAGAGGCCAAGATCTTTCAATGAATTGCCCAGATGCAAAAACATCAAAGCACACTAAAACTACTGTTATAAAATTGACAGTGCCTCTCCATGAAATCATTTTCCTAAAATCTCTGGAAGTTCTGCTATGAATGCAGGGCAATGACAAGTCCTGAACAAATCAGAGGTTCCTATACCATTATAAAATATGAAAATCAGGAATATAACAATACAGAGATAAAATAATTTTTAGAAGTATGTATTAGTTTTCAACCTTAGACCATGGATGGACCTTTGAAGAGTCACGTAACTTACAGAGAGTCATAAAAAAGTAATAAAGGAAGTTATAGATAGATGACTGAGTATGTATGTGATTATTACAAATCACTCTGAGTGTAATTACTTTCCATTTCTTATGGACTTGACTCTTGGCTAAAATGTTTCTCTTTTTTTATGTTTATTTTTTAGAAGTCTACAAATTGAAAAAGGCTGAAAAACCTCAAAGACTGAGGTAACAAATTGCACCATCTAAAAGACCAGGACATAAAGCACACTCTGCATTGCACAGATGTTGGACAACAATGTATAAAGAACATCTAAGGATGCCTGTCAGTGGTGAATTGATGCATCGCCTCTAAAAAAAATTGAACGAATGCACAGACGTCAGTGTTAAATTATAACTAAGCCAGCGCTAAAAGACTAACGAAAAGATTTACATTAAGAAGAGAGCACACCATCCTTCTATCATACTGACTTTATGGACATGTAATGAAACATTTTTGAATTATTCAATAATGTCATGGTGAATCAACTGTGAAGAAAAGCTTCACACATACCACACCTCTGTGTATTATCTGGAATGATTTCCATACATCTTTTAGGTCTGAGTACCACCTTTCATTTTACATGGATACCTTTATGCATGGAAGTGATTTCAGGACAAACCAGCAACTGCAAAGAATTAAAGAGTAAATACTTACCAATAACACTTAACTGAGCTGCACATAAAATAACAAGTAAGCACACCAATGATATGATGACAGCCCTTTCCACTAGAAGGAACCATGATCCTAGAGAATAAACAAAGAAAAACAGTAGGAAGAGAATAAAAATGGAGGCTGTTTGCTTTGTATTTATCAGTCCTCTTAGACTGTGCCGTAGATTGCCCAGTATTATATGTAATTCAGCATTAAGAATTATAATAGGTTAAGAAACCTATGTCCTCTACCTTTATATTTTTCTGTGTGACAACCTACTTTTTCCATACGTCCAGCCATCCCAGTATTTTCCAAACTGGAACTATTAACTTCCACTGGAGCAGAGAACACGCTGGTGCTAATTTTTGGCACTACAAGCTACTGAACTTGTGGAACTACAAAAATCTCTGTAAATCAGAAAAACAATATTTAGGCTAAGCAGAGAAAATATGAAAGGTCCAATCCGCTGCCTTCTCAGCCATTCCATTCTACTTTCAATGGCAGTAACTCCGGAAGAAATCCAGATGTGTGGTAAGGAATACAGGAGCCAGCCTAAGTGAGAGGGAAACAATTTTAAGTCCTCCCAACATCATCCATCTAGATTTTTTTCCCCTGCATTTTGGATGCCGTAGGCTGTTCAGTCAGTCATGCTTTAAGACCCTGTGAGCCACCTTCCAACATAAAATTCTGAAAATATCTCCACTGAACTAGAAAATGCAGTTAATTCTTGCATCTCTGCTCTTATATTCATTTAGGCTCACTCAGTGGAATCCAAAGTCTCAATTTTTTACATTACACTTTCCACCATTCCTCTGCCTGCACATTTGCTTCCAAAGAAATTTCTAATCTATTAATATGCATTTGTTGCATTTTTCTCCATACATAGATGTTGTATCTGTTGCTCCAGAAACATGTCATTAGGCAGCAATACCTCACAATTTTAAATGCCAATTAAATACCCTGAGGGCAGCTTCTAAGCTCACATATTTCCCTCTTTCCCTCCCCTCCTCCCACAAGAGATCACAGAAGTAGATATAGTGCATACAACAGAAATACAAGGCAAACAAGCTAAAGGCAAGCAAATGGAGAAACTGCTTCTAACTCACCAAATCAAGGTTGATTCACTGAATTGTTTAAAGCAAGGCTTTTTGCTTCATTCACAGTATTGAAAAAGCAACTAATATTGAACAGTTACTTGTAATGCACAGGGGCCACTCCCTAGATAAACTAAATCCCAGTGATGTTGTTTGATGCAACTGAGAATAATTAAAGAAAGTAACTGCAAGCAGACTCTGAGAGCCACTTCACTTCCTCTGCAGCATTTCCAGCTGACACTATCCAGTGTAAAGAGAAAGCAACCAAGAAGCCTGGTATCTGCTGGGGCTTCAGCATGCAACACAGAGCCATGTGTGGTCTGGTCCTGGAGTCTGAAAGAACTTCCTGTACAGAAGAGCTTGCAATACTGCAGACACATGCAACATGCAAGGAAGAGGAACTGCTGAAAGCATTTTCCTGGAAATATACTTCCCTTACTCTGGTGCTTCATAGTAATCAACTGAACTCCTGGCATAAAGTAGTGCTTTGAGAGCCAATACAGGGCAGTCAGTTCCAAGCTAAGAAGAGAGACTTCCAGATTGGGGGAAAGAAGAGTGAAGAGTAAAGGGAAAGGAAACAGGAAAAAGGCAAGGAAGAAAAGAAGAAACAAGAAGGACAATGAAAGAAGATAAGAGAAAAAGCAGCAAGAAAAGAGATGGAGAGAGGAAAAAGATAAGGAAACAGAAAAACTTGACAGTCACTCTCCTGATCAGGAGAGTGTGTCTGTTCACAAAGATGAGAGCACTTGCATAGAAATCTTGCTCAGACTCTACCCACTGCGTAGGTGAATCCAGGAATTCTTTAAGAGAGATGGAGGATAGCTGGCTCTTGTATGTGATTCTTGTAACGACTATCTTTGTTAAAGAATCAATTGGAACATGCTAGTAGTGACAGCATGAATTCATTGCTCAGAAATGACCCAGTGAAGACTGGTACAGGATTTCCATTATCCACTAATCCTTTTCAAAACTCACTCACTAAACTTTCTTTGATTAGCTTATTGTCTCAAGAGTTTCTCTAGAACACTGAGGAGGAGCAAGCAACAGAAAGTCATGCAGAAGAACTGAGAGAGAGAGCAAGTGACTGTGTTCTTCACCCTCAAACCTAAGTTTTACATTTTCTAGCATATACTCTCAAACCTACTGCAACCTCAAAACTATGAGTTTTTCACTAACCACATTTTTCCTCTGGTGTTTCGTCGCCGCAACTGACAACTAGAAAATGAAATTAGAAAAATTATATCAGTTTCCTGCTCTGTTGCCTTTATACCGATTTCATAATTATATAAACACAGAGAAAATAAAACTTGCAAATGGGACTTGATTCTCCAACACTCTCAAGCCTTGCTTCCTCCTCTGGAGAGTAACCCTGAATTGCATGAACAGTCAAAAAAGTCTGAGTAAACTGTAAGAGAAGGAAGGAAACAAACTGTGTACACCTCTTCCCTGTTTTTGCAGTGTTCTAAGAAAAGAATGATATTCTAGCATCTTCCCTTTCAGTGGCTGTGCACTTCTCTATTTCAAGATCACATCTACTATGCAGGGTATATGGTTAACTCAGCAATTAGACCCAACTAAGAATTACATAAATGCCCGCAGCAGGACACAAGAAACATCTGTTTGAGCTTCACAAATACTTTATTGTGAAATGCAAAAACTAATAGCAAAACCAAAAGAAATTCTGGAGTCCATGGGTAAGGCTCTGTGTGCTACATATATGCAACACATTCAGTGCTTCTGTGCAGCTCTCCAGAGGCAAGTCTCCTACGCAAAATGGATAAACAGGGCACACCTATTTCCAGTGAAACTGTTACATCTGCATAGCACTGGAGAGATAACACAGGTACAGTAGAACCCATTATCCAACAGTTGAGGCGCTGGAGAACATGGGCAGGGACCGAGAGGATAAAGTAAAATAGCTCTCTGGATGAGAAATTCATTTAATGAATCTCATTCATTTTAACATCACTTTAAACACCATCTTTTGAAGATGACATTTAATGCTAGAAAACCACAACAAGCTGCCAACTAGCAGTAGCATTTTCAACCTCGCTAGAAAACTGCCTACTTTCAGACTGAGTTTTAGAGCTCTTAAAACAGAATTTCTATTAGTTCTACCTATAGTTTTCCAGCAGAGTTAAAGGTTGCAAGAAGCAATTCTTCCAAGAAAAGATCTCTGCAGACACTGTGATGGATGTATACATTACAGTATTACGCAGATGATCAGAAATATGTCACGTAATAACACGAGACTGCTGAATATATCAGCATCTACATAATCAAGAAGATGTGGGAAAGCATAGATTTCCCTATATGGGACCTAAATCATGCTCAGACATTATTACAGAATGAAAAAAATGCGTTCAGATCTTTCCCATGGAAGCACTCCCCTCTACCTTAAACCTAAAAAAGGCATATTAGCTTACAAGTTAGAAGGCCTGAGTGCTACATGTTTTGTATTTCACTTTAAAGGAACACATTGCCATGTTCATTATTTTTCTCTTTCCCTTAAGATTTTGCTTGCTTTCCTCTCCCAATAGGTTCTGAAACAACAGCAGGAAACTCACCTGAGCTGTTTTTAAGTTCCATTTTTATTTCTCCTTCTCTGTTTGATTCTGTTACTTTACAGCTGTAATTTCCAACAGTTGCTTGTGCACTGTCCAGCACCAGTGAGGCCACACCCGTGATTAAATCCGGTTGGGATAAAAATCTTGCAGACGAAAATGAGGGATCAATATTAAACTTCTTGTTTCCTCCATGGTAAGAAAAAATTGTAACTCCTTGCTTTTTCCAGGTAACAAACATGGCATTTTCATTGTTCTGCTTTAGATTAGTCACATAACAAGGTAAAACTACAGTTTCATTGCAGTCATTTTTTTCTACAATACTTGTCCCAGAAAGTGACAACTGGGCAGAACCTATAAAGAAAAATGAAAATTGACACATTCAGAATTATTTCTTAATACTCAAAAACAAAGAAGAAATAATTACAACAAGTGAATTGGGAAAACAAAACAAACTCTCCCATGAAACCACAAAAAGAGAATCATGCTTTAAGGGATCAACAGAAGATAAAAAAAAGGCATTATTATAATTCTACTTACTACACAATTCTACACAAACCCAAGCCATTCTCACATTAATTTAATATACAGATACCATGACCTATCATACATTTAAAAAAAAAAATTGGGTTGCCATTCATTTACTTGGACGTTTCTATTTCACAAGGGGAAATACTGACTGGCTTCTGCAAAGCATGCAGATAACATTAACCACAGACTGTCCTACTGACGGTCAGTTTTTTGCTGCTGATCACACAAGCATCTATAAACTGAGGTCCAGGCATCAGCTCCACCCAAGCTTCCTTTACAGCTCATTAAGGACACGGGGAAGAAAGTCTCACTATTACACTTCTGAGAAAAGGCAGGCAGGCAGCTTAGTCAAGAAAGCTTTGTCACTTGTTCCCTCTTATCTCTGAAGGTGGAGCCAAATGCCCATAGGTTTAGATAATTTCTTGCAAATTCTCTCTTTTCCTTTCCGGTGGAGAATGTGCACACACAATACCATGTATTAAATAAGATTACTACTTAGTATTTGACTGCATACACAACAGAATGGAAAATGGAGAACTTGTAAAAATCACCAACCTGTACTACAATCACCATGACTAATGTCTCTAACAATCACATTCAATGCAGGTAAGGAAAAATAAACACCTCAAAGGACAAGGCATCCACTGCTGGGTTTTCCCATCTCCCTCCCACACAGCACCTCAGCTCTAAAACAGTAGCACTGACTGGCCACTGCTTCAAGAAAGACTTCACCCCTATGCCAAGATTTCATCAGAAATGAAGATTCATTCATTGGTTCTTAAGAATATCAAAAATTGTAACAGCAGTATATAAATTACATCAGAAACCAGAAAAAAATAGGTTAATTCAACTAGCTTGGCTGTAAGCTATGAAGGTTTGAATATTTTATTTTCTCTATTTGTTTGTTTGAAGTCATAACAAAGTTTAATAGCTTTCTTCATAGTAATTGCTCCTCAAAGTCCCAGAGCCATTAATAATTCAAAATGCTTTACTACATCCACCTGATAAAACCAAATATGGGAAAGGATATGAAATCCCCTAATACTGTAAGCACTGAGACTTACAAACTGGAATAGCTCCAGGGACTTCAGGGGAACTACTTATACTCACATGTGTAAAACCAGCTCAGAATGATGATATGTATTTAATGAATAAACTTAATTAGGGCAAGAGGAGAAAGAAAAAAAAAAAAAAAAAAAGGAAGGGGGGGGGAAAGCTTTGTCACTATTTGCAGTAGCTTTTAAGTTTTTTTTTCCCCCTCAAATCAAGAGTCTCAGATCACATTTTAAAAAAACACTCCTGTTTTAAGTATCACTTTAATATTCTAACAATATTTCCTGGATTACTACTGAATATCAAAAGCTTAAAATAAACTGGCTCTGTATATATTATGCATGACAGCACTTGACAATGAAGGAAGAAGCATTCTCTGGTTTACTCATTGTGTTGCATTTTTTAACTAATAAAAGCAACAAAAGCAGAACAAAGGGAAACCATACACAAACCTCAACCTATGCCCTAATAAAAATCAAACATACACAATTAAAACCTTTAATGGTTCTTTGTGAAATTAATTTCACACCTGTTTCACACTAAATCATGATAACAACTGTTAGAATTTTTCTTCTTTTTCAGAGCCAGCACATTTGGAGGAGGTTGCGTGGCTGCTCTCCCACTAAAGGGAGCCCCACGGCTTCCTGCAGATGGTACTTCCACTACCAACTTCCCAACAATTCTGGTGCCAAGAGGAAGCCAAGAGAACCCTCTCCCACAGTTACCAAATCCTGCAGGCAATGGATTACTGGGTGGGCTCTTCGCCTCCAACTTTCTCATAGATTATCATCTTAGAGGTGTCACATGAAGGTGGCAATTTTAGAGCCTTACACTACGCAGCGTGGGGGCTTCTGGAGAACTTGCAGTTGCGAAGCTGCCACAGAAAGGTTCTGCACAGGCAGAGCAAATTCAGAACTGCCACACACAGTTGGCAAAACTGGCTAAGTGCGGTCACTGCACCTGATGGCAGCCGGCCCTTCTCACCTCCTCATGCTGGGGCACTTAGATTTAAGCCAGGCTACTGCTAACATCGGAACCCAGACTGGGATTTCGACATGAGGTTTGAACACGCAAGTTTCGATGCGTTGCTTACTGACAGAACAACACTACAGCACCTGCACCTCGGTGAAATTTTTTTAGCTCTGTCACCCCACCGAGTTTCTTCTCAAGGCAGAGAAATAAGAACTTAAGATTGTGCATTGTCAACTGCACTTCGATGGCACACAAATCATTAAAGACCACGAAACGCCGCCAACCCGAGACCCGGCGCAGCGGGGGACCAGCGCGACAGTTTCAGGAAAGCACACGGAGCTGAGCTGCCCTAACGCACCGGGAGGAGAGGAGCAAAGCTCTGGGCACGCTCCTTCTCCTCTCCCCCGCAACTTCTGCGGGGAGCAGCCCACCGCCGGCCCCGGGGACAATGCGGGGAGCGGCGGGGGCTGGATAACAGCGTGTGCTGTGTGCGTGTGCGTCCCCGCTCCTTCCCAAAGGATGGCGATCCACCACTGCGCACCCGCGGTCCCACACGCGCCGACAGCCAGCAGGAACAGCCGGGAGTTCCGGGCAGGAGCGCCGCGAGTCCACTCACCGAGCGGCGGGAGGACGGGAGGCGGCCGCTCCGCCCCGCTGGCCCCGGGACCGGCCCCCGTCCGCCGCCACCGCCACCCGACCCTCCCCTTCCCGCGGCTCGGGGGGCGGCTCAGCCCTTCCTTCGCACCCGCCTCGCACCCCGGGGTTCCCGCCGGAGACATCGCCGCGGTACTCGCGCCGGGACGCGCCTGGGGGCGATCGCTGCGGCCGCAGCCAGATTGGTCGGGACGAAGAGGGAAGGGGAGAGAAAGGCAGGAGGGCGGGCGCAGCGGGCACTCACCTGCGCGCAGGGCGCCGAGCAGCACGGAGGCGGCCAGCAGCCACATGGCGGAGCGGCGACGGTGGCGCGGCCCGGCGCAGCGACGGCTCGAGCGGCGCCGCAGCGGGCGGGCGGCGGAGGAGGAGGAGGAGGGGTTGGGGGGGCGCTCGCGCCGCTGATTGGCTGCGGGCCGCTGGCGCGGGGGCGGCGCGCGGGCCTGGCCCGCCTTCAGGCCCGCCCCGCTCCCCCCCACGCCCGTAGTCCGCAGCAACCCGCGGGAGTTGGGCTGCGATAAGGCTTGTTTTGGGTGATGTTTCGCGTCTTCTGAAAGTGATTAGCAGGACGTATATCCCACGCCCGCCTGAGCTCCGGGGCCGCGGTGTTGTGGATCGCGTCTCCCCGCACGCACAGCGTAGCGTTCGGGGCCGCGTAAAATGGCTGCCAGGGGAAGATGCCGGACCCAATAAAAGGGGAAGCGTTGACGGGGCGACTCCTCCACCGCCTTGTTGATTACGAAACATCTTTATTTTTTGAAGGGCAAAAACGCCGTTGGAGTGGGCAGGGCCGCGGCCCGGCGGGGGCGGGGGCGGACGGAGGGAGCGCTTTCGCTTCCCCCGTGCCTTCCCCTTCGTCAGCTGACGCCGGGGCTGAGGGCATCCTCCGTGTCGCTAAAAGCCTGTGGAAGACCAGCTTTCCCAGGGGTGTGTTTGCTCCTGGCTGCAGTTATATGCACTAAGTGCAGGTGAAACACAAAGTGTTCAAAACCACTGAAGAACTTGTAAGTGATCAGTTGTTGCAATTAATTTAAAAGAGAGGATAAATGCTCCTTTTTCCTATGTTTGCAGATAGATACATTTGACTATTTCAGCAAGTGTTTCAACGAGTTTTTGGGTTTTTTTCCAGGACCAGCTCTTCTTAGAATTTTTAATGTAGAGTTATCTTAACATTTTGAATCTATGCATATTTTGTTCTCAAACATATGTGTTGGTGAGGCATTAAAAAAAGGACTGTTAAATATATTGGGGGAACGCAACTTTATGTATGTTTCTAGATATTTATATTTACAATGTTGTTACAAGTCCTAGAGTTCAACAGAGGATGAAAGCCAGGGCAGAATTAAAATTCTGTGAGAAACTGAATTTCCATAGGTTTTATGGCTCACGCAGATTTACTCCATTTATGGGGTTTTGCAGCATTTATATTGGCTTTATATTGGGTGGGTCTACCCCACAAACATCCCCTGCTTCTTGAGTCTCTAGTCTCTTAAATTCTCCCCCAGCAAATTAATCACTCCCTAAGTGATTAATGGGTACCGATGCCTTGGCTGCCACGTTTGTTTCCTCCAGATATTCATAAAGCACTCAGACATCCTCTGGCATTCAAGTTTAGTAAAAAGCCTTGAGCTGTGGGAGCCATCTGAATCGAGAAATGATGGAGGGGGCTGACACAAAGCTGCTGATCCTGCTCCTGCCAGACTGACTCAGTTGATGTTCTCTGGAGGCCAGAAGAGACAAGCTGGAGCAGGGGATAGCAGGGAAGACATGTCTGCGTCAGCCGTAGCTCATATCTGTATCCGTGCCCTGCGTGCCAGCACGCTGATAGCCACAGGCACTGGTGTCCCCTTTGCGGGGAGCTGCGCAGCGTTTTCTGTAAGAAAACCAGGGATGCTCTCCTACTGCAAAGAGAGGGCTACAGCTGCAGCACGCACTTGTCCCTGTTGCTAAGGTAACACATATCACACCCACACTGGCCTAGAAGCAAAACAGCGTGCATGGGAAATTTCGGAGAGCCAGAGCCTCGCGTGGGAGAGCGCTGCTCTCTCAGGTGCTGCTGCCTCCTGTACTACTGAGCTGAGTCTCACAAATCCCTCAAAGATAACTCTTTGCATGCAGTTTCCCTGATTGTGTTGGAGGTTGCTGTGCCATCCAGCTAGATGTGCACCTGAAATACTTTGTCTTGTAATGCTCTGCCTTCTGCTGCTGAAAAATGTCTGCAATGCCTCTGCTCGCTGATAGTTTTGGGCAGCGGGACTGTGCAGAGCAAGGCAGTTCACATACCCACTGAAACAAAGGTTGGGCACTCTGCTTTCTGTTCTGAACCAGGAACACAGAGCAACCCCTGCTGTAATACAAGAGCTGCATGCTTTTAACCACTTTCTAACATCACTCTTGTTTTGCCCAGAAGCACATGGTGTAGAAGCTCACAGAGAAACACATCTCAGCAGCTGTGAAAAGCACAGTTGCTTTTGCAACGCTGTGTTAAAGTCCAAGTGCTCCAAAAGTGAGAGGTCATATATTTTAAAAACTGTCTGAGTCTCTCATTTATGACTTTCAAGGCACACTTCTGGTCTTTAAATCAGACAACTTATTTTATTACCACTACTAGGCACGGATCTGCCATTTTATACTGTTTTACAGCTCTTTGGAATACCATTGATCACTCTCTGGGGTCAGCAAGCTGTGACAGGCACGAGTCACATACAAAAGCCAATGTACAGGAGGCAGTGGCTGCTGTGGCTGGCAGGAAACTGCTGAAGAGTGACATAAAAGCCTGAATGCCTAAAGCAAAGGGTGTCAGTAGCTGTGATTTGTCAAACCGACTGTGAGGGCTGTCTCCCTTGGCAAGAAATCCAGTGGCCAGGCCTCCATCTGTGTTCCTGGACTCACTCACCACAGGTACCCTACCCTAACACAGAAACCACCCACACCCAGAGCTCACAAGGCAGCAACGTGATGAGTAATACCTTGTTCTCCCTCAGGCTCCACAAAGGATTCACAGAGCAGCCTTTTATCCCTTTCGCTTCTGATCTGGAAACCTAAGCGTGCCGAGGTTAAATGAACTGACTAAGGTTGCATAATTAGCCAGTGGCAGAGCTGAGAATAGACACCATCTCCATTTTTTCAGGCCTAACATCTAACTCTCAGGCCCTTCTTCGGCACAGGCAGGCCAGCAAAACTGTATATCACAGCTGTATAGAATATGACATTTTTAGAACAGGCTCAACCCCTAGCTTACTATGGTTTTGAAAAAAAAAAAAAAAAAAAAAAAACAAAACAAAACCAAACCCAACAAAAACACAGGAAAAAAACATTTTTTTACAAGTGCTCCTGCCTGGATAAGAAGGTAAAAATGGAATTCAAGTGACATTTATAAATATTAATGGACTTCTAAGCACTAGCACATTAAATAAGTTCCCAAGGGCCAAACCCTGAATTAACTTTGAGTAATACTTGCTGAAGACTTAGGCAAAAATAAAGCAGTGCTGTGAAGAAATGTTAACTTTCACAGATGTTTGGTAGGGCTAAAATGCCATCATTTGTCCTCCATTTAAAAACAGTTTTAAGGAAACAGTGCTTCTTTCATGCTCCCAACCCTCCCCTTCTTCGCTTACTCTCTTCCTACTCTTGTTCTGTATTTGAATGCATTTTTTGCAATTTCCTTTCTTCAGCTGCTGCTGTAGCTGCTGGGATTCATCAGGCAACTTAGTGACATTAGTGACTTTGTGGGGGGATGTGGGAGACAAGATATCCTGTTCACTCTTGCTCAACAGAAAGCACTCTGGGAAAGGTTGAGCTAACAGCAAGATAAGGGGGGTGAAACTCCAGCCTGTGAAACTCTCCTGCCATGAGGGCTTTTGAAAGCAGATTTGTGTTCCAGGTCACTGAACTCCCACTGGAGGCTGCAGCTCAGACAGCCAGGTAGACAACCTGGGGGTTACCTGCAGCTGCCCTCTACTTACATAAGACCTGGAGAACTGGATCAGGTTATTGACAAGCCAAGAGGAATTACATGTCATGGTAGCTAGGCATTGAAGATGGTGATCTGCTTTCATCTTAGGCATTTTGCTCCTTCCAAGAACGTCCTGTAATGGTGAAGCAGTATGTATCATTCCAGGGAAAGGTTCAGCTGAGTTACTTGGTTCTCAAGGGTTCTAGAAACCTCTCATTTCACACCAGATTCACTCAGAGAGAGGGTCAATTCTTCTAAAATATTTAAGGAGAAATGTTCATAGCTTTGAAGCTGTTTAAAGACATGACTTCCCATGCAGTGCAAGTCAGAGTCCCTTTTGATGTCAGAGAGAATTAGGTTCTACCTGTCCTCAAATACCTGGCTCAGTCACCTAAATGCATTTACAAAGCTGGCCTTAGCAGCTTTCATTACTGGCTGGCAGGTCTCTGAGCACAGAGAACACACTGTCCTCCACACTACGAGTCTTTGTTAGCAGTGCACCCATTATGTTCAATTAGTCGCAGCATGGAGCATATGCTGACCATGCCTTGCACTTTGCTTGTCTGTCCTGCCTGGGGGCACCTACAGCCCAGCCCAGCCACCACCCAGGTTCTGCAGCCTGCAAGTACAGGCCCAGGGCAACACAGTGCCACTGCCTGCATCAACAAAACGAGATCCCTGCATCACAGCCAGCAGAAAGAAAGACTGTGCCTGCTCCTGCTCTGCACCGCAGCAGCCACAGCCACAGTGATGTCCCCTGTGAAATCACACCCATGGACAAGAACAGTATGTTTTGTGAGGTGTCTGCAGAGACACCCATGCCCACTGACTCTCCAGTGCTGCAGACAGGCTGCCTGCCTGCCTTCAGCCAGGATGGGCTGAAGGTCAGCTGAGGCCTCCCAGACTTCCTTGACATGGCACACTCTCAGTGTGGTCTTGTGCTTTCTCCTCTCCCTCCTCCTCCTCCTTAGCCCCAACCCAGTCTGCTGCTGTCTTTCACAAAATCCAGAGAAATATAATTATCATGGAGATGTCTGCCTCTGGCAGTTTTTTCCTTTGGAAATAATTATAATTGACTCTGGCGGTTAAAAATTTATCGGTGTAGACAGATGACAGACAGTACAATCACATAAGCTTCCCTCTGAGAAAATCAAGCTAAAACCCATTTATCATCCTGGATGGAAACAAAAGGTCTTCCTTTGAAGAGCCAGGCTGTGAAAACACAAAGAGAAGACTGTTATGCCCATGGATTAAATCTGTGGTAGGTAAACAAGCACAAGCAGTCCATTTGCAGCACGATGATGCTGTGGTAATAATAACATCACTGCTTTCATCTGAGGAATACCTAGACAGGGACATATCAGCCCCCTCAGAGGCAGTAACTGAGGTCCCAAGAGGATAATTAAGCCATAAGGACCTGAAGAGTGACTGCATCACAAACACAGAAAAATGTAAGCATATTCACATAGTGTCTATAAGGACTACTTGCATGGGGATCCACTGCTGGACATGGATCACTTATTCCTAGAGTAAGTCATTAACTACCTTCTTCCAGAAAACAGAAAAGTTTTGATTCCCAGGTATATCTCCAAAGCACAATCTCCTGGAACCATCTTTCCTGTAGCAGCTCACATGCCATCCCCAGGAGGAGTCCATGCCATATTCACTAAGCTTAGAGGAGCACAGGCAAGGACTGTGTAACTCTTAGAATCACAGAACGGTTTGGGGGGAAGGGACCTTAACGATCATCTAGTTCTAATTCCTACCACACCCCTGCCACATGCAGAGACAGCTTCCACTAGACTGTGTTGCTCAAAATCCCATCCAACCTGGCCTTCAACACTTCCAGGGATGGCACATCCACAGCTTCTCTCGGCAGCCTGTTCCAGTGTCTCACCACCCTCACAGCTAATAATTTCTTCCTAACATCTAATGTAAATCCCTCTTTCAGTTTAAAGCCATTCCTCCTTGTCCTGTCACTACTTGTCCTTGTCAATAGTCCCTCTCCAGCTCTCTTGCAGGTCCCTTTAGGTACTGGGAGGCTGCTCTAACAGCTCCCTGGAGCCTTCTTTTCTCTAGGCTGGACAACCCCAACACTCTCAGCCTTGTCTTCCCTCTATCTTGCTTCAGCAGCTCTCAGTCTCCAACTGGGCAGGATAATCCAGCCACCTTACACAGTCTTATTTTTTCAGTAGTCATTTTTTGCAAATTATTTTAACATCTCTTTGGCATCTCTTTGGCCTGAGTGGTTTCTAATGGTATGCAGGTTGGCATTCATTGATTTTATTCTTAATGCATCCAAATTCAGGTTAGGTGCAATTGTGGAGGCAAATGGGAGGGCTTCTTTCAGTGCTAATTTAAAACAGTTAAACAATTAATAAGAATTCCTGAGATGTTTTTAAGCAAATGAAATCTGGGTGAGGAGAATGGTTGTCTTGTGGAAGTTGCTGACTACCCAGTACATATGAACAGATGATAGCCTCAAATTCCATGAGACATGCTTGGATCTAATGGCATTTGCAGACACACAAAGAAAAATATTGTTAGCATGCAACCAGTTGTTGTATGGGAGAGGGATGAGAACGGAATAGAGAGGAGGGAGGATGGGAGAGGCAAAGATAGAGAAATACCAGAAACAGAACTGTACAAAATGTTTTCTCTAGGTTTAGTTCTCAGGATTGCAGACAGTCTACCAATAAATTCAATAATTGACATACCTCACATGCAGCCACATTAATGTCACAACTATGTCACTTGGCCAAGTGTTTGATTTCACAGACAAACTCTTCCACCTTTGGATGAATTTGTGGATGGTTTCTACTTTTTTTTTTAAATAGTCTTCTTGGCTTCCAACAGCTTTGCTTGGTTAAATTTCCCCTTCTAGCTAAAAAAAGAAATTAGACTGGTCTCTTTTGACAGCTGTGAAATGGTTGCATATTGTGTATGTTATCCTGATAAGCTTGCATGAAATGGAATTTGTTTTCTTTTGATGGATATATTCCTTTCAGCACAATGTCCCCACAAGATTAGCAAGTGCTTAATTTTTTTAGAGACTTTTTATGAGCATGTAATGTCATGTATGCTACTTCTATAGAGCATTATGAATAGCACATGAAGCTGTTTGAACAGCTGAGACTGTCTGAGGAATGTTTCCCCAGTGACTGTGCAACCTGATGTGTGATGATGTGTAGTTTGCTAGCCACAAAGCTTCAGTCGA